AGTCCACGTCTACATCAAGACAAACTCTCCATGCAAGGATAGGGAGCAAATACATTAGCAGAGTTGCCGTGTTTTCAGTTTTAGAGTCCCCATATAAAGTGGCAGTCCTGTCAATGTATTTGCTCCCTATCTTTGCATGGAGAGTTTGTCTAGATGTAGACGTGGACTCTCAGGATAGCGTGGGATATCTCCTCCATTTTGGCCCCAACTTGAGAGCTTTTTTTGAGCTTGGGAGTTGATTTCAGAGAAAACCAGTGGCACCATCGTGATTCTCGCGAACTTTTACGTAAGAATCAACAGTCAAATCGCAAATTCCTCACACATGCAACATCTTCATTGCAAAATGTAGTTTAAAATCCCAAAAAGTATTGCCGCATTTCGTCTTCTATATCGTCGCTCCTCTGACAGAAGGGCGTACCTCGATTTTCACGTGAGCCCTATTTTCAGTATAACTCTGTGCTTTCTGGGGCTCATATGGAAATGGAGATACGCCTTTACAATTTACATCAGAGGAGCGACGATATGTGCAGATTCCTACGATCTAAGCCTTTCAGACCTCGGTTCAGGACCGGATTAAAGGGATGGCCATATGGGCCGCGGCCCATGGCGGCAAATTTTGCAATTTTTTTAATGAAGGTGTCAAAAAAAGAGAGAAAATAATCGGATTCAGAAAATATGTAACAAACGAGAAAATGCGACATGATCTCTCATTTCCCGAGGGTAAAAGTATAGTAATTTTGTCGTCTATCGGTGATACAAGAGACAACACCTTTAATTAGCCAAGTTAAGAGAGAAACCAAACACGCAATTTAACCTGGAACGGAGCGGTGGTCAGCATGAAACAAATAGCGCCTACAAGACTTCATGAATACTTCACACATTGCGTCAAACACAGTGCGGTCAGCTGCGGCGGTCGGCGTGGAGCGCATAGCGCCTACAAGACTGCATGAATACTTCACGCATTGCATCAAACACTGTGCGGTCAGAAGCGGTCGCTGTGAAACGCACAGCGGCTATTTGACTGGAGGAATGTTTCACGCATTGCGTCAAACACAGTGCGGTCAGTTAGTTCTTTCATAACATTTTCGTTCATTTCTTATAAATGGAAGGCCTTGTTCACACAGGGATAGGTTCACAGAACTTAACTTTGGCGCTAAGTTCCGTGAACTTTCGCTGGTAATGTTGACAGGGCTTCGCAAAAAATGTGTCCAACAAGAGTGAACGCGTCTTATGCACCCCTCCCCGCTGCACATTCACTTGATGGTTTTTATTGATGCTTTAAAACGAATGAGAAGAGGGCGGCGAGTAGGTGAATCCGGCCCTGCCTCGGTTTATCCTGCCGTGCTAAGGGGAAACGCCGTGTATAAACCTCCAGACGTTGTCATGCCTCCTTTAATGGAAAGCGTACTTACAAGAAAAATTGTGAATATTTTTCTTCAAAATGTTCAGACAATTTCCCTTGTAATGTAATCTAAAATATCTCAAAATTGCCAAAGGAAAGGTAGACAACTTTCTTCAAAAATGCAAGTTTTATCCAGTGAAATTTGGCAACTCTCGAATGTTCATACGGCGTTTCTCCTTAGTACGGTAGTACTGCTATGGTAGAGAAAAACGCCTTATGAACCTTCAGACGTCGCCAAATTTCCGCTAATAAAATGCGATTTTGTTGGGGAAATTGTATATTTCTCTTGCAATTTTTCAGATTATTTTGATCGCAATTTAATTTAAAATATCTGAAATACTAAGGAAAATTTTGTCAAAAATGCATGTTTTATCAAGGGAAATTTGAAAATTCACGAATGTTCATACGGCGTTTTTCCTTAGTACGACAGTACCACCGTGCTAAGAAAAAACTCCGTATGAACCCTTAGGCGTTGCCAAATTTCCTTTGAAAAAACACGGTTTTCCTGGTAAACTCATTAATATTTTCCTTCCAATTTTTCAGATAATTTTGCTGTCAATTTCACCCAAAGTCTCTGAAAATTTCAAGGAAAAATATTCATAACTTTCCTTGAAAATACACAGTATATCGGAAGAAATTTGGCAACTCTCAAATGTTCATACGGCGTTTTTCCTCAGCACGACAGTATTGGCCCACCCATCCCTCTCTTACCCCGACCACCGGAGCGCGTCGATGGGAAATAGGGTGAGTCGCTCAACGACGCCCCCGAGGTAAAAACTAATTTTTAGGCAGAAGAGTGAAAACATTAACACCCGTGATCAAGTTGTAAGGAGTCCGGTGCGAGCGGTGATTGCTGCACGCCCGCAGCAGCGGAACCGGATTCTCGCGGGAGGGGGGGAGGGGGCACCCTAGCGGGGGGCGCGAGGCGAGGGGGGAGATCATCGGTAAAACGTGTGTTTTGAACTCATTATTCTGCAATTAAAGTTGAGCCGGGCGACTCCCCACAAAGGCTCGGTTATCGATCGTCTCTCGCCAGGCCGCGTCGTCATCGGCGAGCGTTTAGAAAGAAATCCGATAAATTAATCAACGAAAATCTAGGGCAGAGCCGGCTGAAAACCGCACGCTCGCTTTCGATAATGCATAATGATAATGTCGGACGCGCTGTCTTGGTGTGGTCGAAAAGACAGACGGCGGGAGAAGTTTACGGGTGAGGTTGCTTGTAAATCGAGGAATGAAAAGGTATGAGCTCCTGTAAAGATGGAGAATGGGTCAGTAAGTTGGAATTTTTTAGGCAACTAGCGTTAAAAATCAGCATACAGCTGAAAATCTCAATGCAGAGGGGAAAAGCTCATATGATCACAGTTTTCCCGCAAAGAGATACGCTGTTTTGTGCAACACCAGGAACGATCATTTAAAAAGGCAACTGTAGACGCGTCTCGGCCTTATTGGGCCAATTCGACCCGTTCACGACCCGTGCGGCTACCGCAATCAGTTTGTGTAGAATGGGTCAGTTGCACTGGTCACAGAATCGTTTTTGATGCATGATTCTTACTGATCAGCTAAAAATATTAAGATCTGTACAAACCGCATTTTTCTACGTTCAATATTAATCGAGGTATCGCGCTTCGAAAAATTCGGTTTATGACGTCATCCACTGCGGTTGTGACACCCTTGGTCTCTTCCACCTTGTTCAGGGAAACACACATTTGCACTGGTTACTCAACGTGCATGTAACTGGTATGAAAGCAAGCTGAAAGAAACCAAGGGTGTCTGTACCGCGGTGGATGACGTCATAAACCGAATATTTCCAAGCGCAATACCTCGAGTAATATTGAACGTAGAAAGTTGCGGTTTCGACAGATATTATTCTCAGCTGATCTGCAAGAATCATGCATCAAAATACGATTCTGTGACCAGCGCAACTGACCCATGGAGATGTTGCATGTGTGAGGAATTTGCGATTTGATCATTGATTCTTATATAAAAGTTCGCGAGAAACACGTTGGTGCCACTGGTTTTGTCTGAAATCAACTCCCAAGCTCAAAAAAAGCTCTCAAGTTGAGGCCAAAATGGAGGGGATATCCCACGCTATCCTGAGAGTCCACCTCTACATCAAGACAAACTCTCCATGCAAAGATAGGGGGCAAATACATTAGCAGGGTTGCCGTGTTTTCAGTTTTGGAGTCCCCAAATAAAGTGGCAACCCTGCTAATGTATTTGCTCCCTATCTTTGCATGGAGAGCTTGTCTTGATGTAGATGTGGAATCGTGGACTCTCAGGGTAGGGTGGGATATCCCCTCCATTTTGGCCTCAACTTGAGAACTTTTTTTGAGCTTGGGAGTTAATTTCAGAGAAAACCAGTGGCACCATCGTGTTTCTCACGAACTTTTACATAAGAATCAACAGTCAAATCGCAAATTCCTCACACATGCAACATCTCCATTTGCGGTTGAAAAAAACAATAAGATACTAACTATCTGATCTCTGCAAAAGAAGCCGAGCAGCTGCTTTTAGCCTAGGTGCCTTCATAGGGAAAGTATGGTCAAGGCCAGATTAAGGTTGGTACATGAGGAGCGGTTGCGCCGTAGGTGCGGATCCAAAGGGGGACATAGGGGGCGAAAGCCCCCCACGGCTCCACTCATTCGCCTGAAAAAAGAAGGGAGAAAAAGGGAAGAGAGAACGAAGAAAGGAACGGAGGAAAGAAGAAGGAAGGACGCTTAGATTCGGTAATTGTTCACGACGAAATTGACTCAAACTGCATATTAAATGCTTTGAAATTTAGAAAATTGTGAGGGGATCCGTTCAAAGTATCTGGATCTGCCTAAGGGTTGCGCCAGATGCCATCACAACGAGAGTCTTCTTGAGGTTCACCTTCAATTTCGCCGCATAGGCAACAAACGTACCGGGAAGCGCGAATGGTTATCTATTCGAAAAACTTACGTTTATTTGGCTCCATAAGCCTCGTTTGAACCGATAATTAAATGTTGTTGACCTATTGGTAGGTATAGTTCATCCGAAGTGCAACATTCCTACCGAATAGCGCGAATAATTACCCATTCGAAAAACACACATTGATATCGTTCCAAAAGTTTTGATAGCACAACCCTTAAACTTTATTACCAGATATCGTCCACTCGAAGTTCGCCTTCAATTTTGCCGCATAGGCAACAAACAGACCGGGGAGTGCGAATAGTTATCTATTTGATAACCGCACCCAACTGTACCGCTCCATAAGATTTGACTCGACCGATGAGCGACTTTGTGAACCTACTGATAGATGTCGGTCTTAACGTCCTACCTTACTGATCTTTTCTCTTACAGCATGTGTCTTTCTTTGGGTTTCATTCTTTCATTCGAACTTTATAGGTGATATTCCATCACACAAACTGAAAAAATTGCAATCTGAGAGGTATCCTCTTTCGTAAAATCCTAATTACAAAATCGAGTTCAATTCACGTAATATTTGATCGCTCCCTCAGCGGAAGACACCGTCTTTCTTTTCCTCGAAATAATATACGAATATCAACGTTTTCAATCACTATAGATATTCACATGTCAAAATCAATGACTAATAAACACATTAAATTTGTTGTTACAGGCCGCTCTATATCTGTTACTGGTATCCCTGCAGACTCTGTTGGAAGTGGCGAGCGGCAGATCTCTTTTCGACACAAGACCTTTTCTCATCAAAACCAGACGATCAGGTATGCTTTTGCCCCTCTGTATGTTTTTCAAAGAGATTTTCCTTATATGCGCATTATTTATTAGGTAAATCAGTCTACAGGAAAATTCAGGACCTATGAAACCATCGGCGTTTCGATTAAACTAAGAATAAATTACTGAACTTCAGGGTAAAAAAGGGCGGGGGAAAGGGCTAAAAGCCATGCTTCGTCCGTAAAAAGCTACGCAGTAGGTACACATTGAATAATTTGAAAAATTCTAAAATGTGCTCTCGTGAGTAAAATCAACGTTTTCAGTTTAAATCAACACACGTGCTGCTCAGGGCCGGATTTACCTACTTGCCGCCCATGGGCCGCCTATATTTTGCCGCCCCCTTCTCATTCGCTTTGAAACTCGATAAAAACCATCAGATAAATGTCAACGAGGGAGGGGTGCATAAGACGCATTTACTCGTGTTGAACACATTTTTTGGGAAAGCCCTGTCAACACTACTAGAAAAAGTTCACGAATCTTTGCAAGAAAGTTAGGTTTCGTAAACCTATCTCTGTGTGGACAAGTCCTTCCATTTATAAGAAATGAACGAAAAAATTATGAAAGAACGAATATAAATGTGGTTCAATGATTTTAACTTCCGCCGCCGCGCCGTGCAGACCGCACCGTGTTAGACGCAATGCGTGAAGTATTCACGCAGTTTTGTAGGCGCTATGCGTTTCACGCTGACCGCACTGTGTTTGGCGCAATGCGTGAGGTATTCATGCATTCTTGTAGGCGCTATCCGTTTCACGCTGACCGCACTGTGTTTGATGCAGTGCGTGAAGTATTCGTGCAGTCTTGTAGGCGCTAATATGTGTTACATGCCGATCGCCGCGCCGAGGTCTTCTCCTTTTCATTTCAAGTATTTGTTATCATTTCTCTTTAAGTCGCGCTGTTTTAGGCCAAATTGCGTGTTTGGTCTCTCTCGTAACTCGACTTATTGAGGGTGCTGTCTCTTGTATCACTGAGAGACGACAAAATTAGAAATTACTATACTCTCAGGAAATGAGAGATTTTGTCGCCTTTTCTCGTTTCTAATTTTCTTTTATAAATCCGATTTCTTTTTATACCTACTCTTCAAAAAATTTCAAATTTTTTCCGCCCCTTAGATTTGCCGCCATAGGCCGCTGCCTATGTGGCCACCCCCTTAATACGGCCCTGATACTGTTCCTAAAAAAAATCCAAAATCAAAGTGGTCCAAAACATTCGAGGGGCTTGGAGGTCAAGGCGCATAAGGGCAATGTTTGAAAAAGTTAAGATATTAATGATTCCGGGTGAAACTAATCTTAATGCATATTCTGTGAAAAATTCGCTCCCAAATTCCAATTTTTAAGCATCAAAAAGTCACTTTGAACTTTCTTTCCGCCATAAGGATCAATGTAATTTCGAAACTTCCAACACGTATCTCCCAAAATAGCAAAAACTAAATTTATGCGCCTTGTCCTCCGATCCCCTCATTTACTATACATTAAAAGAAAAGAGAAGAAAAAGAAGAAGATGAAAAAGCTCTCGAACCTCTTCAATGAAAAAGTACTTTCTCAGCGTATGTAAAAAATGCCACAAACTGATGGGGCTCAATTCGTATAGCAAGCTGTATGTATACCAATTGCGTATATCTTAGCACAAACATACCTCGGTTACAAAACGGCAAAGACACCCAACCCAAGGTAATCCTTCTCGGTTCTTCTATACTCAAAGCTCGAGCGAATCTCAAGAGCCGAGAGGGACATGTCTAGCCGCGGTGAGTTGGTGACAACTGGACGGGTTTAAACCGCAATATTGACTCACCCGACACATAATCCACTTGCACTCAAATGTACAGTTTCATAAGGCAACCACGGCTCCGTTCGCTGTTTGGGAAGACGGTTTCGATTTCTTAATCGACCGGTCTTCAGATGAACTGAGTAACAGAGCATATCGATGGCTCAAGTCAAAAAATCCGTGTCTTCGCTTGCGACGTTGCAATGGGCAACCAGACAGACTGGAAAATTCGGTACCATATTACATATTTCTTCATCAAAATTGAACATAAAACGCGATGAGAATATTAAAACAGCTCGATCCCTTTCAACTCTTATGGCCATATCTGCCGTGCTGAGGAAAAACGCCGTATGAACATTTGAGAGTTGCCAAATTTCTCGGGATAAAACTCGTATTTTTTTAGGAAAGTTATGCACATTTTTTCGTGAAATTTTCGGATCTGTTAGATCAAGTTGCGAACAAAATTATACGAACAATTCGGAGACAAATATTTAAAAAAATTTCAAATAAATTCGATTTTTAGTAAAGGAAATGTGGCAACGTCTAAAGGCTTATGCGGCGTTTTCCCTTAGCACGGCAGATATCTACAAACCTCCCTTGAACATCTACCCTTGAGGTCTCACGTGGTTTGAACTCGGCGTATTTCTATCAAACGGAACTATGTGCATTAAAACATGAGCCTTGACACCCATTAGAATGTATGCATAACAGGGCTCACGTCCTAATGCACATAGTTCCGTTTGGCAAAAATACGTCCAATTGTGATTAAGGAAGGTTTAGGGAGATTCTCGACACACCATCATGCAAATGACAATTTTCTAAGAATGTCGAGTAAAATTCAAAAATATATATTTGGAAATAGACCCATGCAAGGGATTGGAATTATTTGCCTCTGCAAATAATTAAAAGAAAAAAATAAATTCACGACCCTTAAAGTGGGTACAAACGTACTTTACCTAACATTTTTAAAATCTGGAAAATTTTCTCTTTCGCATTTATCATTTCTTATAGTGGCAAATCATTGAAATTCTTTGCTATGATCTGTAGCCGAGGTTATTCTGTTCAATTGCACTCAAGAGTCCTTAAAATCGCATTTTTATGATGCTATGTTAAGAATCTCGTTATCACCCCTCTTAATCACAAGGTAACCTATGAGACCACCTCGGGGAAGGTGCTGTTTAAGGAACGACTATGGATAAGGCCCTTGAAAGAAGAAAGTAGAGCTTTTTGTGTGCATCCATCGCCAAAAAATCTAAGTTCAACCACTCGATTCAGATCGCGCATTCAACTGATTTTAATTCATTTTTAGATTCAATAATTGTCTATTGTTCTAACTTTTTTCCAAAAGATTCGAGGTACTATTCATCAAAAGAGGCTACATTTCGCCTACGTCGACTGTGGTGTTGTTTTTCGGAAAAGGAAAGTTTGATTGTTAGTGTAAACTACAAACGTTAACTTTTCATTTGCAACTTAATCTTGGACGAAAATGTACTCTAGAGTGCTTATCATCTTACTCAGTTAAGTGGCTCGTAGGTGTTAGAATGAAAGGATTAGAAAAAGATTACCTCCATAGAAGAGGAGATATGTCGTTTTTGAAATCGGTTAGTTTACAACTATGGCTAAGAATAGTTAATGTAACTTAGAACTCGTACTTTTTTCTATGTAATCGCGCGTAATAAACTGTCTCGCTCCTTCGAGGATGACGTTGTTAAGAATCTGAGGATTCTGTATAATCCTTGCATGCGAAAAATTGCTCGCTGTAGTAAGCAAGAGCCATGTGCGTACGAAGATGCCATATTTGTCTACAAGATTTCGATTTGTTTAGATGGTGCAAATCAGATGGTAATAATAGCTAGCGTGTTTCTTAAACATATTTCCCTAGTACGTTCATTGGAGCGGGCGCAAGTATGAAATTCGCCTTCAAGGCTGAAAGCATGCAATTCTCACGATGGCCGTGTCTAAATGAAGGATATTTAAAGTGTAGGGGTACACGCTTCTTGTAAATAGTATAAACAACATAAATCCATAAAAACAAGAATTATTTTTACAACCCTTAGAACATAGGAAGGGAGTGAACGGCCAAGAAACGTCAGTGCGAAGATTAAATTCACGAGTTGTTGCAACACGGTGTGAGGCGTTCCATAAAGATCTGACATTCTTGCGGAATGATGAATTGCTGACAGTCTGAATTCCACTCGAGAGTACGATCACTACAAATGTCGTCTGACCAGAGTAAAAGTAGGATGACCATTCCTCGCTTGCTTTGTCTATGACTAGAAGCTGGAGCAATTGAAATTACGCACAGCGTTTAGCACATGTGACATAGACCATACCTGAAAATTTTACTAGTCCACGTTCCCATAAGGGCCATGAGGATATGGCGGCAAGCGTGGCCTCCAAAGCCGGCGAGTTAGGCTGAAAAATCCGATTTTGAGATTTTTAGACAGAAAAATATTGCTCTAAGGAATAAGGATCGTCGAATTCATGGTCGTTCGTTAAACAGTTCTTTGCCTTAGGATGCACTGAAAAAAAGATCTCGGTGTATTTACTAAGAAAAGGGTAAAATTACCAAGAATTCAGGGTTCTATTTGATCCCAGTTTTTTCTTGGTAAAATTACTATTTATGGAATTGGTAATTTTACCGAGAATCTCGGTAAAATTATTGAACTTCCTTGGTAATTTTACTAGACCTTGGTAAAAACGCCAATATTTTTATCGACTGTGGAAGAATTACAGAGATAAAATGGCAAAGTTACCGGGAATTGATTACCAATAAAAGTGGTATTCTTACCTAAAAAAAACAGTAAAAATACCGGTTTTTAGGTAAGCTTACCAGCCTGTCTTGGTAAAATTACCAATAATTGGTCAAAAAAGTGAGATGGTAAAGGTACCAACGGACCTTGGTGAAAACGCCGAGAATTTTTTTTCAGTGTGCTCCATACGTTAAACATTGTAACCAAAAGAGGTTTATTTTTAATTACCAGTGGCGTGGCGTGAATTGCGATATTTCAATTGCTATGTCATTTAAACCTATATAAAAGGATCGATAAACAGGGTGTTCGCAGCGAACACCTTAATAATCGATTCTTTACCATAGGTTTAAATGGCGTAACAATCGATATATCGCAATTCACGCCACGCCTTTGTTAATTACCTACATTGCAAATTAATATTTTCGGAAACAGCAGGGAAAAATTAAAAAGCGGAGAACACCTAAGGAACATTTTTC